TCTCTCTCTCTCTCTCTCTCTCTCTCTCTCTCTCTCTCTCTCTCTCTCTCTCTCTCTCTCTCTCTCTGCCTCCCTCTCTCTTTCTGTCACCGAGTCGGATCCGCACTGCTGGAAGAGCATGGAAGCCCTTACCGACAATTAGAAATGTCGGTTGCTCAAGAAGGTCCTCAACTGCGAGGTCGTGTGGGTGCAGACAGGCTCTGCTTCATTAGCGAAGCAAGGGAAGCTGGGAGTGCAGGAAGCAGTGCACCTGCTGAAGTGCGATCGCATCTTGGTGCGATTATGGAACTACTACCAGTTCGTGCACGAGAACCGGCCGGATACGGACTGGACACGTGCGTATCCCTTTCTAAAGAAACGGGAGGCGGTTTTGTTGGAGTTCGAGAAGCAGGGAATGGATGCTGCGTTGTGGAACGGGAGCAGGAAGCTCGTCGGTGATGCCTCACTGTTCAAGGACTGCCCGCGTATATGGGGTGAGGGGACGACAAGACGATTAAGGCGACAAAAAAACTCACCCTCAACAAGAAGTTGTCCGCCGACGGGAAGAACAAGGTCCTCTCCGTATTGACCGGCAGTAAGGCGAAGAGTACGGAGGTCGCACTTGCCGAAGTCGTGGTGCACGTTTTGTGGAAAGACTCGGGGGACGTGACATCCATCGCCCCGTTCGGCATTGACCCTCTTGAGGCGCAGATGAGGGTCACGAAGTTGGAGAAGGCGGTTGGGACCACCGAAGCGTTCTCGATCTGTGCGAGCCGGTGGACTTCAAACAGTGGACGCCGAAAGCTTTCAAGAGTTTGAATTCCCTCCTAGAGCAATTGTTTCCGTCACACTAGACGGTCGTCGCTTTCGTCCCTCGGCGGTGGGACCACTCCTTCATGACCAGCCTGCGTCATCTGCCCATTGTCAAGGCAATGGTAGGGAAGTGGGTCAGGAGGACGCAGCATAAGAAAAGTTTTCCAGTGGGGAACAACTTGTACTCGGTCGACGACCGAATGTACATTCTCTTCAAAGGTGACGATTTGCGGGAGAATATTTGTGTCCTCTACGATGCTAGGTTGTCGGCAGGTGACGCTGCGACTATCGGGGCACATTAGAAAGTGACCCCGACAGACATATCGGAGATTCCCTTTGACCCTTGCGAGTGGCCGTCGGCCATGTCTGGAGTTGACAAGAAGGTCTACAAGGAGATGGAGCGGAACTCCACACAATTGGCCCATCTGCCAAAATTTGTATGCAAAAAGGGGGAGGGCGTCATGTTCCTTGGCAAGCAGCACGCGTGAGTCGTGTGGGAGGTTTTGAAGAGCGGCCGACACATGGTCGCGCTGGAAGGGAGTTTTGAGTTGTTGCAATACACGTTGGAGTTCCGCAAAAGCGAGGTCAACTCTGGAGCCAACCGCTGTGAGTTCATTTCGAGGAGCGAGAAACCGACACACATTCGGGAACCGTCTACGGATTCAAGTTGAGCGAGCGGAAGAGGAACAGGATCTACGAGTTCCTCGTTTTAGAAACGCGGCGCTTGAGGGATGAAGACGCTGAGTACATGCACCGCAAGGAACACATGTTAGCGTTGCTGGACAACTACCACGACGCCTCACGCAAGAACGCAAAAAACTTCCTCGACCGGATGCAGTGTTTGTACTTCGTCAAGTCCGAGCACGTGTTGAAGCTTGAGAGTTATGGCGCCTTGATCTCCACGGAAGACAAGGCGGGGACGGGCGTTGTTTTCGACACGGCTATCCCGGAGGAGGACAACGACACCGAGGACATCGACATCAATTACCATCCTGGTCCGGTGTTTCATGCCCTAGGCTCCTCGTCGGCCAGTTTCTCAACAAGCCAGGCGACCCAGGCATCACCTGTGCCCACGTTCACCCCTGGTAAGACCTCGAGTAAGCTGGCGGTGAGACTGACGCCTCGGCCTGCCGCCCTGCCTCCGTTGTGTCCTGGGAGTTCGGTTCCACTGCGTCATCCTTCTCACGAGGATGATACCGTTCACTTCGAAGGGGTCAACCACACTCGATCGAGCGAGGCGGACTAGAGCCATGACATGATTTAGCACCCGAGAACTATCTTGTCGGCAATCCAGAAGGGCGAGTGGGTCATGGCCCTCATCAACGACCAAGGGTTGTGGGAGCCATACCCTCGCCAATCCAAGGCCGAGTTTCTAGAACTCGCAAGGAGCTCGGTGGTCGATAGAGTGAGGTCTGTGAATCCCAACCTTCAACCTGCTGACCCAGCCATCGATTCCACTGCTGAACTTTTGTTTCAAGAACTTCAGGACAAGCAGTAGTTGGAACTCTCGGACGAATTCTACGACCTCGACACGAGCCCTTCGAAGGGACGGGTGGACTGGAAGGTGCACCCTGCCACCGGGCCACAGGGTAGTTCGGGGGGGGGCGGGGGGGGGGGGGGGGGGGGGGGGGGGGTGCGGAGGGAAGGGGGCCGGAGGAAATGTCGAGGGGCCAATAGAGGGGACCACCTCTAGGGGACAGGTTTCGCCTCACCAGGAGGCCACAACAACGGAACGCGGTGGCGGGGAGGGGGAGGGGAAACTTGCTGGACAGCTGACTGCCAGGTCCGATAAGGAATCGGCGTGAAGTCCGCTGACATCCGAACTACGTCGATCGAGGCACCGGTCGCAAGTGGAGCGAGGCATCCGAACTACGTCGATCGAGGCACAGGATCCGGACTTCTTTTGAAAGGACTCTAGAAACAAGGATTGTCTTGGCGGTGGGTGGGGCTACGCGCGTGGGGATCGAAGAGCGGTCCGCGGGATTTGACAAACTTTTGGGAAAACGGGTTGAATTGCATGGGAGGGATGGAGGGGAAGAAGGGGAAGAAAGGAAGAAAGGGGAAGAAGGAGAGGAAGGAGAGGAAAGGGGAGAAAATGAGTTGATTCTGTTGCGTGAAGGAGAAGAGGGTGAATAAGGGGATTTTGATATTGAAGATGATGAACGGGTGGACATTGAGAACGATGCAGTTTTTTAAGAGTCGTCAGACTCGTTTGGGGTGCTGTACAGAGAGGATCGCGGTCGTGATGTCGACGACGATGCAACGACAATGGAGATGGAGACGCAGGTGGTCAGTGACCATTCAGCAGACCCTGAAGATTATGAGGTTCAACCGTTGACGGCTGTAGTCGGTGCGACGAGGTTTCCGTTGCTATGAGCTCGGCTGAACCAAATCGGTTGTCCAACATCGTCGAAGTTATCGATGGCATACTCGGCGATGAGCAGGTGTCCGCGCAATGGTCTGTAGCGCCTGCCGTGGACTACCCCCGCAACGTCACACCTCTCGTGCCCTCTGCCACCATTTTCTCACCACCCACCTCTCCGACACTGGCCACCAACTTCGCAAGTGGTTGGGAGGGCGAAGTCAGGGGCCGACAACATGTCACGTCCTCGAAACAATCTAGGGTCGGCAGTCAAGCCCTTGACGTGCTAGCCTTACCTGCGCCAACATCACCGACGAAGGAGCGAAGGGATAAACCGGCTGGTAAGCAGTGATGAATGCCACGACGTGCGCGCTTCCCCGACTATGAATCTGGCCAACTCAATTGAATGATGGTTTTCCCCTCTCGGAGAGACTGATGGTTTAAGTCCGCCGGGATCCACACTTCTTGTGTCGATGCGTAATGTGGTCAGTCTCTGTGTGTCTGTTGTGGGGAAAAGTCTGTCGGAATCCGAACTTCGGGGAATGTTGGCCTTCCGCTTCAGTAGCTTGTTGTTGTTTTCCTTTCTAAAGGTCGGGGGTCTCAAGCTCGAATGTGCTCGTCGTTTTGTTGTCCAGCCTCACACACGCAGCTCTGTGGTCATGCCTGTGCAAATTTGGAGTTTTATAATTGGAGAGGTCCTGCATCTTGTAGGTTGTGTGGTTCTTTTACATTGTCACATTCCTCTGACCCGTGTTGTCCATAAGTGTATTTATTTTCCGTTCTCTCTTTCTTCTGTTGTATAGGGATGGGGTCATCTCGAGCACGGAGGTCCTCGAAATATCCGGGGCACATATTGCAAAAAGTCCCCGGGCTGACTACAAAACACAAGGGTATGTTAAAGGCATTAGGGGTTGATGTCGAGATCGGGAAAAAGGAGCATGACATTGCCATTGAGGAGTGTCTTTCCCTTATGCCCCCAGAGAAAGGCACATATCCACAATCTTTGAGCAGGGTTCACGCTATGTATGACAAATACTTAGCAACGCGTCATGCAATGAAGGATAATGCTTAGAGACTCCGTTTTTCACTACCCCGAGTGTCCTTTGCTCGATGTTGTGAGGTGCGGGCCACAACACGTGGAACACGCGGGGGAAGATTCGCTACAATGATTGCGCCTCGAAGCTTGCGGGTATTGGAAGACATTAAACGAGGGTCGGTGCCACCTCACACTGTTATATCTACCCTTGCCGACGGTCAGTTGCGAATTGCAGCAAAAAATCTTCTCACCCTCTTGCATATCGCCGGCAGGGTGAATGATGAGGTGGTCAATTTTTACATGGCCCTATTGGGGTCAACCGCATGTGTGGTATGTAACATCCCGTCAGGCTTTCGAGTCTTCAACTTTAATTCGTTCTTCTTAAGTAAACTGCAACTTCAAGGACACTGTGGTGTGGAAAGGTGGGCTAAAAATGTAGATCTGCTTCAATATGATATTATCTTTGTTCTTGTCCACAAAGATAATGATCACTGGATCCTCCTTTCTGTCAACTTAAGAGATAATGTCCTCGAAATTTTTGATTTTTTTTCTCGCGTTATAGTTGATTCAAGTTTTTACCTTCGTGGTTTCGAGTTGATTGTACCGTATTTGGAACGTCAAACATTACATAGGCGGTCGAGTAGGAGTTGGAAGTTGATAACAACAAATGTTGTGGTGGAAGGAGTTTCAAGACAAGTGAATGGAGCTAGTTGCGGGGTGTTCGTGTTGATGTTTACGACACTGTTCCAACGTGGTGATCGACCACCTTTTAGGTTTTCTTCTAAAGATTTTATGTTTATTAGATGACAATTGACATCATATATTTTAGAAGGCTATTATCTTTGATAAGTTCAATTGATTTACACCGAATTGTTTTAAAACTATTTCATTCATTAAACCACCAGTACCTCTGAGCCTGTTTTTGCTGACCCTGATTTTCACTGCGCTCAGAGTTTTGCCGAGCCTGGGTCCCACTCCATTTTTTTATGGTACTCTCACGGGAAGAAAAAAAAAAAAAAAAAAAAGTTGCGGCCGTGAAAACTCACATAACAAGAAAACGAAACAAAGCTCTGGTCGTAATTGCAGCTATATACATTCTCGGAAGTGTTAGTGTAAGTGTGCCCTTAGTGAGGGCATTTCAGCCCCGTGGCCAGCTTGTCAGATTCCAAAAACTCGAAAAAAAAAAAAAGACAGGAACACGGATTCGACCGTGAAAATGGTAAGATACATTCTCGTAAGTGCCAGTGTGATCAGGGTTATAATCCTCTGAGGGAACACAACTCGAGAAGATCACGGATTCAAATTGTCAGATTCCAGAAAAAGAAAACAAGAAAAAAAAACGGAAACATGGATTCGGCCTTGAAAACGGCTGGATACATCAGGGTTACAAACATTTGAGGAAATATAGTTAGAGTAGATCACGGATTCCGCCCTGCCTCGTTGGTAGGGGACACATAACAAACAAAAGTGAAATAAAAAAAAGAAAACAACAAGTTTCATAATGTGACCATCTTTGTTGTAAGATGCATTCAAGACTGTGAGCACAGCCTCCTAGACTACCCTGCCTGACATCATTGCAATGCAAAAACCTTTTTTTTTTTCCTTTTTCTGTCGTGCACGGACAAAATAACACTACGATTTTTGGGACATTGCCGACCCTGTGTCCGACCCCCGAAAACTTCGGGTACTGGCCAGGACAACGTAATTTCCCAACATCGACGTAGGTACTGGTGGTTTAATGATTATATTTTGTAAATCCTGACATTACTCAATTGTCGCTTTCACAACGACATTACTTTTTTTTTATTGTTGCGAGTTTGAACAGTCTCGCCCGACGGGTGTTGACTTTGGAATCTCTGTCACGTCCCAGTTGTGTCTAGTGTAGCGGAGCAAGTGCGCATTGTGTTCCTTGTTTCAAATTGTTTTGGTCAACCAAAAGTGTACAAATGATTGACATGAAATAATATCGATAATTGTAGTCCGACAAGACAAATTGGTGTGTAGATGCAAGACAAATTTCGGCGAATGTGTGAGTGTGCAGTTCACTATGCAAAGACCACTAACATCACGTCTCTGGCATGCACATAGAATCACATGACTTGTGACCGCCTGCATTGCATGTAACCAACAACTTTGCGTTCGTGCCCAAGTCTTTCGTGCATAGCCAATTGAAGTGTGAATTCGATCCGAAATATGAAAAATTTGAAGTTCTTGTGTAATATCATAGGTGTTGTCGTAGAAAACGAACTTGTATGTCGAAACATCTTTGAGTTGTACTTCGACTACTACTGTAATTGTTACCTTACATGAAGTTTATAAGGACAGATTGTTCAAAGCAAACATGTCGAACAAGGATACAATCATGACACAATGCTCATCACAATTGTAAACAAATATGGATCTGGACAGACTTCCGCAGATCGAGCGAGATGGTGGGTGTGTCCTTCGAAACACTAAGTATTCTAAAGAAGTCCGGATCTCATGAACATCCAAACAACCGTCTCGGACGAGATGATTGGCATGCCTGCACAACTCAGGGATAACCTAAACAAATGTATTATCCAACAAGGATTCAATCATGAAACATTGCTCATCACATTTATAAACTTGAAGTTTGACAAGTGTGGATCCCAACACACTTCCGCACAGGCTTCCCGTATGGTCGTGCCTATCGTCACCCTAAGTCT